GCACTGGACCCCACAGCCAGGGAGGTGTACAGCCGACTGAAAGGGGCGGAGACAGGGGACTATGAACTGTTCAGAAAGGCCCTGCTCCGCGAGTTTGGGCTGACCCCTGAGATGTGCCGGAAAAGGTTCCGGAGTCAGCGTAAAACCCGTGAGGTCACATACCTACAACTAGCCACCCGGGCGCAGGGGTATGCCCGCAAGTGGACAGCTGGGGCCCAAACTATAGAGGACCTGCTTGACCTATTCGTACTGGAGCACGTGTATGAGCAGTGCCCATCTGACCTGAGGCGATGGTTGATGGACCACAAGCCAGAGAACCCACAGCACGCAGGCCAGCTGGCCGACGAGTTTGTGAACAGTCGGGCAGGGGATAACAGGGAGGAGTCCCAAAGGAACAGGCCCGTCACAACGCAGAGCGAGAGTCACCATGGGACCTCCCAGCGAGGAAATAGGGAGAACCCCCACCAAAGGGGAACATCCAGCGTCAGGTCCATCCGACCCGCTCGAGGGGACCCACGGGACATGGGCTGTTATTACTGTGGCCAGAAAGGCCACATACGGGCCAGTGCCCCAGGCTCAGGGACAGACTGAGCAGACCGAACCCACAGAGGGTTGACTGGGTAGAGACCCAGCCGGGCGAGAGGCAGCACTCCCAGGCAAGGGGGGCTGGCAGCGTACCACCTGCTAAGGAGGGGGGAGGGCTCCAGGCCAGCTCCTCTGGCTCCAGACTCAGGGTTTTTGGTTTATACGGTGGGCGCGGGGCTGTCCCTGCAGAGAGAGTACCTTGTTCCCCTGGAGGTGGATGGGAGGAAGGTCAATGGATACTGGGATACGGGCACAGAGGTGACGCTGGCCCGGCCCGAGGCGGTGGCCCCAGATCGGGTGGTGCCCGACACCTACCTGACCCTGACAGGGGTGGGTGGGACCCCAGTCAAAGTGCCCATGGTGACGGTACACCTGAAGTGGGGGGCCAAGGAGGGCCCCAAGGACGTGGGGGTACACCTGTATTTGCCCACTGAGGTGTTGATGGTGGGGGGACCTGGAGAACTGGCCAAGCAACCCCCAAAGGGCACTGGTCGTGACCCGCAGTCAGAGCCGGCGAGGGGCACTGCGCCCTGGCCTTCGGGGGGGTGCCTTGCCTGAGGCGCAGGACCCTAACCTGGGGGGGAGGGAACGCCCAGGGACACGGCTCAGGGAGGCTACAGCTTCGGACCCAGCGGGCGAGAAAGAGCAGGTGGCCATCCCTGTCCCAGCTGCTGAGTTCCAGGCTGAGTTACAGAGAGATCCCTCCTTGCGGAAGATAAGGGACCTGGCCGACCTCAGT